ATGCAATAAGTTTGTCAGGTAATTATCGAAAAGATAACCGATCTGTAGCAGGTCATATTTTGAAAAGATTTTTTAGTAGCGTTTTAGTGTTTTTTGGCAATGAAAAATAATGTTCATTAAGAAAATAATATCTAAATTCTAAAACTCTAAATCAAGATTTATTTAGTGGTATGGTTTTCGTAAGAAACTAATTGTATGAGAATTTTCACATGGAAAACATTTACTTTATTTTAAAGAAGAAAGTAATTTAGTGTTTTATTCATTTTTTGTGTTTCAATTACCGAGTTACAGCCAGACAGTTATCTGTTGAAGGTCTGGCACTGGCAAACAATTCGGAACTCGATTTCTTTTGACAAATTCGGTGCTTACTCTTATCGCACCTTAACGCAGTGCTTAAGTGGCCATTGCCGAGTCAGAAAAGAGGCTGCTAATTTTTTTCAAGCACCATTCGCTCGTCCCCTATCGCCCAGCTCCTCAGTTTCAGTTTTACAACCAATAAAAAGATTTTTATGACCACAAACATTAAAATGTTCAAATTGAAAATAAGCTGAAAACAAAACACGACACACAAAGCAACAAAATCGGAACATGAAAGGAGCGGGCCAGCTCCAGGGGACACGAAAAGTGGATGGAAATGGGAGGGAGCACGAAATACATTTTAAACCAAATTTATGTGGCACAAAGGCAGCGCTGAAAGCTAAAGGAAGCGGAAGTTGGGAAACCGGGGGATCCAGGAGGCAACGGGTAGTGGGTAAGGTTACCGGGGGCCAGCTCCTGTCAGTGGCAAACAAAAGTCCAAAGACGCAGCCCGCTTAATGTGTGTGTTTGAAGTTGGCCAACAGGCTAACGCCCAAAAAGGGGGAGTGGCGGCTGCCAAAGGACGAAGACAATGCTGGGAAATTACCAAGGCACAAGGGCCAATTCGAGCATGAAAATGTAAACAAGACGAAACGAAAAAAAAGAGCGAGCAGCAAAACCCAGGAGAAGGCAGGCAAAATGTGTGTCGCAATTGGTAAGAGGTGTACAACGGGGCGGATGGAAAGCGGCTTGAGGTGCACAACGGGGCGGATGGAAAGGCGGCGCAGGCAGTGCCGCAACAAAATCAACAGTTAGCCAATGAGCCTGAAAGTGGCAGAGAGGATGGCAACGAGAAAACAACCCGTTAACATGAAGAGAGCAAGACGGAAGCAGACCTGGGTAACGACTTGGGTGGCAGCAGGTGGTGCCTTAAATCCACGTGGGCCCTGCCAGAAGTTGCACAAGACAATTATAAACGTAATGGCAACAACAGTTAGCCAAAGCAGAGGACCAACAAAGGCAGAGTGGATGGAAAAGGTATCGTTAGTGAGCAGCAGCTGAACGCATAAATTCTGTTTAACAATGTCAAGAGGGGGTGGAAAGCTGGGGGGAAAAAAAAACCCAGGCAAAACTGGTAAGACGCTGCGAGCATCGCGTAGGTGTTGGTCGTTAGGCTAAAAAGCTAACGCAGATAATGTTCGTCCAGCTATTGCCCTCTCTATCTCTCTTTCTCTCTCCCCGAACAATATAGACACCCTTCTCTTTCTGCTGGTGTACACAGAAAAATGTTGCATTAAAAGAAATGAAAGTGGTGGCGGCTTGTAACTGTGTCAGGGTTGCAAAGGATTGCAGAGGAAATTAAAAAAGGGGAATTGGAAAAGATGTTTTGGGGCAAAGGCAAAGACTCGAAGGGAAATGGGAAAAGTTAGGCAAAAGCAAAGTGCTTAGAAGAAATTGAAAATACCGAGATTGTAGGGCCCCATCTTTATGCAAAAAATAAAATGAAAAAAATAATGACCGAAATTTTAGGACATGACCAAGATATAATAGTAGATAAGAAGAAGCAATTAAATCAGTAAAAATACGAAAGTAAACTCAGTAAAATGTGTAATAGAATTGATAATTATTTTTAATTGAGTTGTTAACCGATTAATGTTAAAACCAATGATTTGTGTGTTGTGGATAGGAATGTTTAAAAAGTATTTATATTTTAGATTGCGTCTTGCCTGTCTTTACTTTCTGTTATAGCAACTTAAGTCAATATCCTGGATACCGCAAATCGATTTGAAATTAATGTAACTCGGCAACCCTGTCTAAGTACACTTATTTCCACTTCTTTTTCCGCCTGCACCTTATGCAATTGTGGCAGTAACTTCTCGAGCCCACCCCCTGGATTACTGTGGAGGAAGCGAAGAAGAAATTAGCAAGCAAACACGAGAAAAAGAAATAAATAAAACCAACGACAGGCAGACACGAAGGCAACTGTGGGGGATGGCAGTTGGCAGTTTGCAGTAAAAAAGGATAAACTGCGAGTGGATTGTGGGTGGCGGTGGGTGGATTCGTGGTGGAATGCCAGCCACACAAGCGACGTGCTCCCAACACTTCTTGAGTAATTCATAGAAAGGTCGTAAAAGTCGAGTCAAAGTAATTATGCCGGAAAAAAGGAAGCGAAAGGAGCGATGTGAAACTAGGATCCTGAATTCAGGACTCAGGGCTCAGGATTCGGGATCCAGGACCCGGGACCCGAGCCATTTAGGTTGTATGCAAGAGTTGTTAAGACAAATACACACTCACACAAGACACACACATCTGACGAGAGTTGCGTTAATTGAGTGGGCCGCGCATGTGGGCGACGCCCGTCTGATGAAACGTGCACGGGGGGCGTGGCTGAGTGGGCGCGCTAAAGTGGCAGCCGCTGTCTTGCACCTTCACCTTTGCCTTTCAACGGCGGCATCAAGTGGCAAAAGCCGCAGAAGTATGCAACAATTTTCAGCAGTGGAAGGCCGTGAGCGGATTTAACCCGAGCTCCACCAGCGTAAAGGTGTAATGAATGTGCCGGAGGCGCTCCTTTATATACGGCATTACAATTCGCCTTTAATTGCTGAAAGCCCACAAATTACAAAAAGGAAAGACGGATGGGCTAATGAAACATGCGGGTGTAAGGCAAACAGAACAGAATTCTCAGTGGATATGCAAGCGGAATTACGCTATAGCCGAGGTTCTTATTTGCATTCGAAGCAGCCACAGGATAATGGGCTTTTCAAAGGAAGTAATAAAATATAGGCATCCAATCTTAAAGCGTATGCTTTGAGTTAGTATAATATAATTAATTTTTATCAGTTAGTTAAACCCAATTATTAATTTTTTTACTATAATTTTCTGTTAATTAAGAAGATATATGGTCAATAGACATCATTATAGGTAATAAACTAAAATCGAAAAGTTTATATCAATCGTCAAAACAATATCAATAACACAACTTATTAATTGCCACTTAATTCTCCGCAATCTAGCATCTAGCAGACAGAAACATATTGCTAACTGATTTTGTAATCGATCCATCGTCATTTCAATCCGAGTGCGGCAAAGGGTAATAATTACAGCTCGTCTTATTAACTATTGGGTATTAGTTGCATTTTGTGCAATTAGCAGGATTCAATGCACAGCCATCGACTTGCAAACTGGCTCAAGGATAAACACAGCTGCACAATGGCGTACACACTCGTGCATAAATGCAGAACCCCATTGACATTAATTGAATGAACCAATATGGACAGTTAGTTATTGAAACATGTCAGGATAAAAGGGGATGAGTTGCAGGATAGTTGGGTGGTACAGGGTGGTGCAGGGTGGTGCAGGGTGGTGCTGCGTTGTGCAGTGCGGTGCTGGATGGGCAGTTGGCTTAGCAAACATGTCGCACAGCGCGGAGCTTGGACAAATGAGAGAGCAGCCATCGATGACGAATGTGTGCATGTCGGAATGGCTGCCAACTTGACTTGCCCGAAAGAGATCTCTGCGAATGGAATTGCCTTGACACATGACATTTGACAGCCCAGAAAAATCGAAAAAAAAAATTGTTGTGAAGCGTACTTCAAGTTTGACATATTGGATTCCTGCAAACGAAAGCCGATTTCCATTCGGCAGATCCTTATTTGCCATCCCTCACCCCCCCTAACAACTACCCCCTGTACCAATCATTCTTCAGCCAGCCTTTGTGTGCTTATGCTAATGTGCGTAAAAAGCATGCAAATTTCCATGGCAAAGAATAAATCTGGGGAAAATTAAAGGGAGGCGATTGAATTGGTTCACATGCTTCACAGACTCCTATTTTTTCTCCCATTTTTTCTCCCTCTTCTTTTTCGCCCCCACTGAGATTGTACCAATGGACATCCTGTGGTGAGAGCTGCCAGGTCCACGATTCATTTCCACGCCGCATATATGAATATAAATGCTGCATCACCACCAGCGCCTTGTTTTTGTTTTTACTGCCGCGCTGCGGTCGGAAAAGCCTCACGCAGAAATTGAGTTATAATATGGCCAGCCAGGGCCCAAGTGGGTGGAGAAAGTAGCGAATGTCATCCTCGCCGCTTTATGTGCATGTATAGCATACATTTCGGGGCGCGTGGATCATTTAGTTTGTGCTTGCCAGTGGGCGGTTGGAAATATTGCAAAATGGCCAACAAAAGCAAGAGCAGCCATGGCCAAACGCCAAATAAACTATGCAAGAAATTTATGCAAATTTTATACAATGCTCAAGCATTTAAAACTGACTACCTAGACTTTTGTACACGTAATGGAGGCGGAGAATGGCTCAAATTGGTTGTGGTGTTTTCTTGCTTTGGGTTGTCTATCTCCATGGGGCTTACAGTCAGGGCTGAAACTGATTACTATCCTGGCCAGGAGAAAGGCGGCAGAAAATGGGATTCCAAATACTGATTGCAATAAAGCCACAAATTCGTGAAGAATGGGCAAAATTTTTGGGGTTGTTTGCGAAAATAGTATCTTGAGCAAAATTCTATACATTTTATTTTAAATGGAATTTTTGATTCACACTTTCGGATAGATTTCTCACTTCAAAAAAGGTTAATGTCCAAAGAGTTAACATCCAGGATGGAATGTTAGAAAAAAAGGTAATTTGAAACTATAACAAACATGAATCTATTCTGTTATATCTAACACTTAGTATTTTTACTAATTTAAATTTGTCTGACTTCAAAAGTTTAAAATCTAAACTAGACAAATGTTAAATTGCTTTATCCAACAAAAGGCAAGCTGCTTTTCTGATTTTTTGTTTTGCCTGGAAAACAAACTGCCTCAACTTTGTCTTCGATGAATGGATTTTTTTTCAAGTCCTTGCTGTTGCTCAAGCTTTTCCCGCTGACCAAGTCAAAATATTGCACTGGTCAACTATTGTGAACTGCGGTCGACGGGCCACTCCTTCAGCGCTCGGCCTCTGAGCTCTGGCCCTGCACCTCGATGGCCGCAGAGAGTAAACCGCGCTTGCTGCTGCGGTTGGCGGCAATTTGTGTTGCATTGTTTGAAATTTTCGGCAGTGTTCTACGAGCAGCGGACAGACCAGCTTCCTCCAGCATTGCGGTGGGTGGTGTTTTTTTTTCTCTCTGTTTCGAGATGTTAAAACAAATGTTGCTTTAATGTTGCGGTCTGGTCAGTTGACTGACTGACGTTGGACCTTCTGCCTGTCGGCCTTCATTTCCGGGCAGCAGCAACAGCAGCAGCAGGAGCAAACGAATCCTGGCTAATGTGATTGCAGAATGGCGTGCTTCCGGCTGCAAGCAAGTCACTCCCAAATTGATTAAAACAAAGGATTTGCAAGGCAGTCGACAATCAAGCCTAATGAAGACACAGACACAGAGACAAATTTGCTAGTTCATCCTGGTCGGACGAACTCAGTTTAGCCAAGTGAACTTTGGGCAGGCGGCTCTCCCACAGGAAATAAGCTCTGAAATAAACGCTTTCAGGATTAATTGTTTGCATAATCAGGCTTTCGCTAAAGGGGTTTTTACTGCCGCCTGGCTGCCATCTTGGCTGATTTACGTTGCGTATACGCAATATTTATGGCACCTTCAATTAATTGTGCGTTAGATTATTTAAGCATACTCTACGCAAGGGCCGAACCCTTGCGGCCCCCTTGAATTATTAGTAGGCATTAATTTTTCAGTCGGCCTGGCTTAGCATTCGCATTAAGTTTCCCTCGTTCTGCACGTGTATGCCTTTGGGTTTTTGTTAGTTGGTTGAGGTGAGGGTGACACTTAAAGCGCTCAACGTTGATTGACTGCCGCCCCATCAACGGAGTTTTGGGCTTAGCAATTTCGGGGAGCACTCGTAAGCGCACAAAGAGCGAATCGGATCGTGTCTGATAGTATTGTGAATTTTGTATGTGCCTCATCCATTCTGATGCAACGATTTATACGCTCTGCTTGGCATTTGGTTTATCAATCAACGAACGTTTTCCATGCACGCCATATGCACCGCTCCCCGGCACTATCTATTAGTCATGGGGCTCGTTTGCTGCCCTTGGACGCTTTGCATATTGATTTTCTTACGACCATCCCGAAACTGTTGTCCCAAATTAGGGCTCATTCTTTGGTCCTGCATATTCAGTAGTCCCATCTCGCATCATTTATTTCAATCGCGGCCAACAATGCAACTGGCTCATCCCCATTTCCCCGTTTTACGCCCATTTAAGCCTCACATTCGCATTGTTTTACAACGCTGCGTTCCACGAGCAGGAGATAATTAAAACCGCAAATAGCGCCAGCCATACCAGATGCCCGATGATCGCTGGCCGCAGAATAACGCATAATGCCTTCGGACTGAGCCAACAAACGATGACCACCATCTATTATCCATTGTCTAGGCCATCCACCACCAGCGCCCTTCATATCGCATGACGACTCCTCCCCCGAAAAACCACCACTGACATGTGAGCCGTAGTCGCACAATGCACCTTTCTTCCTCACATACATACATGTTGGCCACATATTCAGGGCATACAATTTCAAAATTGTAATTATACGCCTGCTGGCAGTTAATTACACTGTGCGAAATATTTAATATGCAAAATCAACATGGCAAACCGCGCATACGCTCCGTTAAACCGTTTATTAGTTCTGGATTTGCATTTGATTTGGTCCGGGCAATAGATTTCACTGCTTCAATTAGCAGAATTAAAATGTTTACCCGTAGGATGTTGTTGTTGCCACGACACTCTGAATTTTTCATTTGTTGCGGGCGCCATTTTAAGCTGGCCATTTGCGGCATTTCTCCATCAGCATCGGATTTTTCCAGTTAATTTTGTCAGCGTAAGAGGCTTAGCGGTGATGTGGGCGCGCTTTAAGGGATCATTAATTTATCGCTGAGGTAGTTAGTTGTTTTGCCAGTAAACTGTACCGTTTATTTTAAATGTCGCAAACCATTGAATTGAAACGAATCAGCTGTAACAGCATTGATTTTACACACAATTGTTCACTAGAATGTTCTATATATCAAATGAGACGATAAATACAACGGATAAGATGCATTTCAAACTTTTCGCCTTGGCGACCATGTGCTCATTGAATTATGCACTTGCTGAACTATCGATTTTACAATGTAAGCGTAAATTTTTCCACAACAAATAATGAATTACATTTTGTAAAATGTTCCCAGCTTGTACGCATAATGATGTGATGGTAAAATGTGTACCAGTTTGTCCCAAAATATGCTCAAATTATCTGCAGATTCGCAGGTGCAGCCCGAAAAAATGCCGACGAGGATGTGCCTGTAAAAAGGGTTGGTTGCGAAATAAAAACGATTTGGGAATGTGTATTCCCCGAAATGAGTGCAAGCGATATATCGTAGAGTAAAAGTTAGAAAAAAATAAAAAATAAAAAAAAAAAATAGAAAAAACTGAAACTAAAGTACTCTGGCTGCTTTGCTTGACATTTTAACTGGGGAATTGAGGGTGGAAAAAAGTCTGCCGACAATGGCCAAGATTTGCATTTCTATTTTTCATTTTCTTTTAATTTTCTGGGGCTCTTCAAGAGGCACTTGGTGCCCCCCATTTCCTATTGCCTTTTTACTCTTTAGTTTCGTCTGTTCGCGATATATGCGGCGCAGTGGAAATGACATGCCCTTGTCAGAAATTCATATTGTGTTGACTTGCATTTGACAACTTAATGAATTTAGCTGTTCCACTTGGCACATATAAAGCCTATTCACTGTCGTTGGTAGGGAACAATCTTAACCCCAATACGTGCTGATATTCGGCTGCAGTCAGCCCCATATTGTATAACCCCATCGCGAGCGAGAGCATTATGAGAAAACTTTTCAAACCAGCAAAAAAAAATGTCCGTTACGTGATCCATAAAAAAAGTCTGACCAAGTCGTATACAAAATATCTATGTATGTATACATATATTGCAGTAGCCGAATTTCTTTTCGTTTCTTTTTTTGACAATGTGCAAGTTTTTGGGTTGGAAAACAACTTTTTATATTTATGTTGTACCACAAACAACAACGACCACAATAAGAACAACTTGAAACGGAAGCAGCGAAGAAAATGAGGTGGAACGTCAAGTGTTTGGTTCCGAAACCCTCACGCTCTTGAAAAGGACCGAGTTGTGTGTAATTTGGTTTTATGCTTTATCGCTTGCTTGATTTTTATTATGATTATTATCGCGGGAATTACGGTGCAACTTTTGGGAGCCCATTACCAAAAACTTTCCTGATTTTCCTGGGGCCTGCAGAAAATCGTTTTGTGGGTCTATGTCGAAATTTCAACAGATTTATTGGGTTAACATTGACATTCTCACTTCTTTGTCGTTGCTCTGAATGACAACGATGATGAGCATGTTGATGCTAGCTAAGGCGTGTGTCCGGAGCTCATGATGTCTTGATATGACTTTGATGGTTTAATGCGCCTTTGTTGGGTAAATGAGAAATGGATTGGGTCTTCATAAGCTTTGTGTGTGTATGATTTGAGGAAATATTGGAAACAATTTGCTAATTTTGTTACCTAATTGAACTATAATAATGCTTAATGCTACCACTCACGCAATAATGTTAAAAGGATGAAGGACACTTACCTAAAATGAGAAAGACAAAGAAAGCTAATTAGTTAAAGTGATTTAATTATATTATATACTTGATTTGAAAGCAAATTTTTTATATTTATTAGAACCAATGCACAAAAATCGTATTGGTTCATAGAAGATGAAGCAAAAATCGATTCGTTTGCCAGATAGTTTAAAACAAAACTCCGATTTGCGCAAATCCCATCAATGGATACGCTCCTGGCATTGCAGCTTAGCCTAAACGAGCCGTCTTCCTGGTGGAAAGCCAACCCACTATTAAATCCAAAGCATTAAGCCCTCAAAACCATTTTTTGCTTGTTGCAATTGCTATGCAATGTTGGAAAAATCTTCAACCACAAAGGACTCAAAACCGAAAGCAAAACAAAACATTGAGGGTACAGTAAAACCGATGTTAAGCAGAGCGAGAGATGGGGGATTTTCCACCTTTCCGTCCAGTCCCGTCCCCTCTCCCATACGTTCTGCCCCCACACACATGCCTTACATTCATATGTAGGTATGTATGAACGTATGTCTGTATGCAAAGATCCTGGCCAACAATGGCGGCAAGTTAAAGCCAAATCGGGTGGCCAGCGCAAGAGGTGAGAGGTGAGGGTAAGGGTGCCGCACAAAAGGCCACTAAAGAGACATACATAGATGTAGATGCCTCTGTGTGTTTGGGTAGATATATTTAACAGCAAAGTCAAGCGCCGGCGATGTGCACAGCACAAAATCCAAATTTAATGACCAAGTAAAATAGACAGCAAACGAGAGCACCAGGATACGACAGCCAGGATCCACATCCACATCCACACACACACACGTTTACTAAATGTGTGTAAGTGTGTGTATGCTGTCAGGACGGGGGCGTGGCACTAATGTTAGTTGAATGTTTGCCGAGCCTTTGTTATCGGCATGCGTCTTTTTGCAATTGGATATGCCTTTTATGCCTTTGGGCTGTGTTAATGTTGACAGTGCTCGTCGGAGAGCCAAGGACATGACAGGAGTTGCAAAACACAGCCCAGCCAGCCATCGTGTTATTTAGTCCCGCTGAGCAGCCGACAGAAGGACCCTTTCGACCACGGCCTCGGGCCAAAAGGCATCGGCCTCGCTATCGCCCCATCGACATCCACACAACTTTTGATGTCTGTCCCGCCAGCTAGTCCATCTCCATCTCTCATCTGTCTGCTCCTGCTCCTGCTCCTACTTCTCTGCGCATCCCTGGCACATTATGGCAAATTATGACATTGACAAGTGGCCAGGAGGTGTCACATTTCTTGGTCGCCATTTTCCTTTTCGCAGCAATTTGTTGCTGGCATGTCATACATCAGCCACACAGCCACATATCCACACACTGGGGGGAATATCGAGGCTTAAATCAAGAAATAAACTCTAGATTTGAAAAGTCATTATTATTGAAATTTGCCTTTTAAAATTAACATTCGTCAAGAATTTTAAAATTCAAGTGTGGAGCTTAAGACTTGATTTTGTTGCCTTTTAAGAACACGTTTTTGCTAGTATACTTTTTTAATACCACATTTTATATTTATTTTCAACCGGGGGTTTTGAACCGCCTTATCCTCCCGTGTATCCGTGCATGATTGTGGCTTATTTAAAATAAAAAATCGTCTTTACACCAAGTAAATTTCCAATCCCCAAATTGACACACTATATATATTTACCACCATCCATTTTTTTCAGTGTGCGCAACTAACACATGCCTCGAAGAAATATTGGACGGCGGAAAACGTCTTTTTCTGCCCACATTTTGCAGTTTCGCTCTTTTTGCCAAGTGCTGTAAGTGCACTAGGCCCAGAAACAGAACTGTTGCGTACTTTGTAGCGTCTTCCACTTGGGCATGTCCTTGGTGTTTGTGCCGTTAAATTTTATTTTCATTGCAAATGCGTTTGTTGTTTATGCACTCTATGCGCCAACTGCAACTGAACTAAAAGTAAGGCAGCCAAACAAAAAGTCTTACCACTTCTCGACTATTTTCACAGTTGTTCTTATTGCTGCTGCTTGCATTTGTTTTTGTTTTCGTTTTTGTTTTTGTTTTCGTCTTTGTTTTTGTTTAGTTTGTTGTTTCACTGGCCACGTTTTTGTTTTTGCTGCTGATTTCGTTTTGTTTTGCATTACAAATAACTTTTTTTTTGCAGTACGTGCGAGCATTTTAACATTTCAACATTTTCATTGCGTTTCGCAGGGTGAAGTGTTCAAATTTATGCGCATACATTGTTGGGGAGCATTCATTCATGCGTTTCCAGTTCTCAGTTCCATAGTTCCATAGTTCCCGAAACCCTGCGAATACCCCCGAAATGCAGTTGATTTCACGATTCATGCATAATTACGGGGACTCGTAGCTCACACAAAATAAAGCAGTGTATGCATAGACATTTTCTATGACCTGCATAAATAAATCAAACGTGGAATTCCAAATGACACCGAAATATTTATATGACACTGGGCCATGTTAATCACGTTTGCTAGATCTAATCCTGGGGATTCAAAGACGGTCCCCAGACGAAAATGATAAATGGAATTCAGGCGATTTGATTCTCTTATGTAAATTTCTAAATTATGGCTTAGCTGGCTAGTTCTCTGAATTTTTTGGTTTCATTAAAGAGGATTTAGTTCTCGCAATAAACGTTTATTTCCTAACTTTAGCCCAGAAAAAGCTTTCAACACAAAATGTTAGTCGCCTGCAAAAGTTTAGGCATTAAAAACCCCAGAAATGTTAATGCGACAAAGTGTAAATTGAATTCAAGTGTGTGGGAAAGATTTTGGAGTGTCCTGCAGCCATTGGGTTTATGTGAGAAGTTGTGGCATTTCTTTCCTGGGGTCAATTGAAAGTAATTAAAATTCGAGTTTGGCAATAGGAAAAGTTACAAAGCTGGAAAATATGCTACAGTTTTAGAGCGGCGGAACTTTTTCATAAGCTGCGCGAGATTTCAACAATGAACACAGCAAAGGAGAATTAAGGCATGACGGAGATTAAAAGTGGAGAAATATAGAGGTTTATTGTAAGCCAAGGAAAGATTATTATGCTGTTATTATTATTCCATACTCAAGGACGTAAGAGGCAACGGAAGGCAAGCCAAAGACGATTTACGAGTGAGTCTGGATGGAAATTAATGTGTCACTCAACATGGCTGTCAATGCGCATGCAAAAATAAAATATACTCTGTGAACTCCAAATTAATAGCCCGCCACTCATTGTTGTAGGAACCGACGATGAGCCCGCCAGCCAACCAGGCAGTAATTAAAAGATTAATTTTTAATGCGCTCTTAGTCAAAATGTGACTGTGCTCGTATGTGTGGCTCCGTGAAAATAAAGGGATTTGTGAAAACTAGTACACATATACGCGCCCCCGTACGAGCATTCTCACACATTGTAATTTATATCCCAGCTCTCGGGTTTCATCATCATCTGCCAGGCGGGTTTATGAGCCAATTTCACTACTCCGAACTCCGCACACCGCACACATCGCATCATATCCCACACTCCTTGTTTGGTTTTGTTATTTTCTTTTTGTTTAATTTTTTATTATTATGCTCTTGGGCTCCTGTTTTTATAATTTTTTTTTTGTAAATTCTTGCCGCGCTTGCAGCTGCAAATGAAATGTGTGTGAGCACACCTTTAAATTTTTAATACAGTTTGTAGTCCTCTGATTTTACACTCATTTCACGTTGCTCTTCGTCCTCGTCCATCCTGCACTTGATTAAAAAACCAACGAACATCGAGGGAAGGTCGCCATCCGAAAGGATGTTAATTAATAATTGAATCAGAAAAAAAAATAAATAACTTTTACTCCTGTTACGCGCCTCTGTCAAATATAAAAGTGTGAAATACTCAATCAGGAACAGTAATTTATTATTTTCCGTTCATAATAAATGTATGCAGAAAAACAAAGTGAGATTTATTGATGTGCCATAATTTATTTGGAATATTTTTGCAGCCAATTAATGGGGGAAAACGATAAAGAGAAGAATAAATTTATAAGTATTTATATAAAAAGTTATAAATAAAACACTTATTTCGCTTTCCTCCGTAAGTGAAAACAACATTAATCGCCATTTTCCGCTCATTTTTCTTTCGCTTATCAACGCTCCTGTTCTGTCAACAAAAAGAGACCCCCCTCTTCATCATTCTTCGTCTGTTGTTGGTGGTTCGTGCACTATCATTAATATTTGAAATGCAGAAAAGTTGCCAACACACTTTTCCCTCTGGTTTTTTGTTTACAATCTCCAGCGACAAAGCGGGCGCATAATTAGCTGCGCAACAAAAACAAATAAAGCCCCAGCAAACTAACTTGGACAGCCAATTAGAGGAAAAGCCGGGCCAAAAGCGTTGCTCAACCAAATAAACCTGACAAATTACATGGTTCGTTGCCGAAGTCCCAACACATGTGCAAAATGATGCACAAGCTCCGACAATTGTTTGTGACATTTAATTCGAAAACAAAAGCAATACGAGTTGTAGGAAAATAAAATAAAAAAAAATAAAAAAACACTTTTATGAAATTTTTCGTTTAGTAAGGGTTCGGTTTTGACTTGTTATTTAGACATTTCTAACCATTAAAATAAGCCTAATAGGATTAAGGTTTATGTCTCTCGAATTTCAATAATACATAGTTTCTGAAATATTTTGTAAGAATAATAAATTACTGCACAAAGTCAGGCGTTACCACACCGTGGGCGACCCATCCCCACAATCACGCCACGCCCCCCTGGCTTTCTGCTAGTTGGCTTTCTGCCCCCAAGTTAACCAAGCGTATGACAAGCCGACATTAACATCTGAGCTATGTAACTACTTTTGTTGGTGACTTTTATTTTTCTCTATTTCGCTTGTACTTTTCCCTGTGACATTGACTACTTGAACTAATAACCACATGGGCCTAAAGCTTGATTAAACTGCGGTTAATGAGGCCCGCCCCAAGCGCCTCACATGGAAATTAATCCGAAAAGCGAAGGAGGTGGTGGGGCAGAGCCAGGTGAGCGCAGTGGTTCGTTTCAGTTGTCGCAAGGTGTTTTGGCTAACCACATAGCACAGGTTTCAACAGCGGCACTGACTTTGGTAATCGAGTGGCTCGCATCTCAAGTGTCAACCGCCGAGCACTTGACCTTGCCTTGTGGTGAATGGTGGGTGTACTAAGGTTGTGAGATGATGTGATGAGTAATCTGTCGAATCTATTTCTTTCCCTTGCCTAGTCCCATACAAACTACAAATAGTTTACTGTCAAAATTGAATGTACC